TCGGTTGGGGAATTATTTATTCAAAGCTAGAAATATATTTCAAAATATATTATTCCACGGATACGTTTCTTACTTTTGTTGTTGAAGTAACAATTATTCTATTGATGTTCGATAATTGGCTCTCGAAATTGTGATTCGAGCCGAATTCATCGTACTGTAACAATGACTTTTTAAACGCTACGACATTTCAAATTTCGTCAATCGTCTGTATTGATCAGTTCTTCGAACAACCTGTTTTTAAATTTAGATAAGACGAATAAATAATATGTAAAAAAATAATTTTCAACAATTTTGTTGATAATTTCTTGAAGGGAATGAAGAAAATTAATTCAACGCTACGTTTTGTTTTTTATTTAACTGCAATTTATTTTCTAGCAACATTGAAAAATCAACGTGAAAACGAGAGTAAAAATAGATTATTTTCAGCTCTACGTTTTGACGAACTATGATTGTCGGTCGTTCGAGGCATGAGCACGAACGATTAATCATCCCAGAGGAAAATTTTGACCAATCCTGGGCGACTTTATTAATCGTATGAGATTAACAGGAATCATGGTATGGTGATTGCAAGCGTTAAAATAAATCTATCTACGTCACAGTTTTTTCTTCATCGAAACGTGATTCTTTTGTTTCTCAATTCAAATACTCGAAACTCGACTTTTCATCAGATGCGACAAATTATCGATATATCGATATTTCTGATCCGTGAATCGTAATAGATTGATACAATATTATTCACAGTAATTAACAGTGGTTAAAATAAAAATAAATTCATGCTACGTTGAAAATGATTGAAATATAACAATGTTTCACTCATTGGATAATCTACGATTGCAATTTTGGATTATAATTTGGAACTTTTTATATAACAAGTATATTTTTTTTATCATAAAATTGATTAAGAGTAATCATGATGGATTTCAGGACATTTATTTCTTATCACAAATTAATATTAATAAATTGGCAATTAACAATTTGTATATTGTGAAATATTATTTATTTTTAATATTTTAACTCGAGTATAATTCTAAAATTTATAAAATTTATTTGTAAGTGTTTGTTTTTATATATAATTGTTTTACAAGAGATTTTATATTAATATTTTTATTTTTGCTTATCTTGTAATTTATAATGATTCAAGAAATTTTTTTGATAAAATTGATTTGATCAAGAAGAGTGTTTAATTAATTTAACTTTGAATAAGGTTTAAAATTATGTTTATTAAGAAAATGGACAAACTCGAGCAAAGGATTAAAACCGAATTGTACACGGAATTTTTCCGGGAAAATTTTTCAAATCGAACAAAAAATTCATTACGAAGATGAAATATTACGAGATGGTCAGTTTGGTTTCTACATTTCCATGTGCATGAGAACGAATGCTATCGATTCCATTGCAGTTCAGATTGCGTCTAAAGGTACATAATGGTTTTAAACGAGCATTTCGGATAAGAATCCGAAGGACAATACAGAGAAAGCGAAGTTCGGCTGATATTGCATAGTGGAGAATTAAGAAACGCGGGTTAAAGGAGCGGCTCGAGGTTGCGGTTTAACAGAAATCAATTCTTCATCTCGATTATGTAATAACGACTTAGGCAAAATTGTGAATTATCTTTTCTTATTTCGATGGTCGTTTGAAATTTCAATATAAATAGGCAACGAGGAAGAGGAAAAACAATTGATTAACGTGTGATTTTTGTGTTAAACATTAAAATTGAATTGAAACAGTTCGATAATTATAAATTATTTTTGAAGATTCCAAATTATTATCAATTAAAATTGTCAATCTTAAATTATTCATAAGTAAAGAAGATTATTTGCTCAAAGGATGAAATGAATTGCAGAGATGAGATAAGGGGAAATAATTAAAGAATTATTTATTAAATTCTTATTGGTTTTAAAGTTTGATGAAATATTGAGAATTGAACATATAGTAATTAATATATTCTTTGATTTTATTTTTCTTTATTTTTTTTTTATATTTAATCTTATCTAAAATACAAAAAAATAAATAAATAATGAAAATATATTTTAACAAATTTTAAAAATCGAAACGACTCTTTTAATTTAATTCATTTTCTTTAAATACATAAGATAGGATCTTTATATTATGTTCGAGTTACAAAGAAACAAATGATATTAATTAGGAATTTACTAACCATGATGTTTAGATGCTCTCAACCCCAGACCGTTAATTCTCTTGGTTAACTCGGCGCTGGCTCTTTCGACGACCCCCTGCGCTGATATTGAAGACATTTCTCAAGAAGCGAGGATGCACTTTCTTTGCTCAGCCACAATTTGTAGTCAAGACGAATAGAGATGCGTGTGGTGGTGATTGAAGCGTTTCATATTCGACGAACAACACGCGGACAAAACTCAATCTTTCGGGTTTACACCAATTCTTTCACCACCTTTCCGCTTTTTATGCTTGTTTCGTCCACTTGCGTTCGCAAGTCACCTGTATACACGACAATTGCGAGATCTTCAAGTGCATGGGCTCGATCGGTAATCCCATGAAAAACGTTCGATCATAACTCTGAACAGTCTTCTTAAATTTATAGATTTTATCGTTTAACACGCGTGATGAGAAAAACGAACGCAACCCTTTATCGCACGCGGCGAATCGATGATGGAACGTTTTACTGGAAGGATCTATTTTAATCGACAATCCGTGTGACAATCGCGCGAATCGTTCGAGAAATGTATATACCAGAATAGGAAAAAGACGTGAACGTCTAGGATAAAAAAACTGAAATGGAAGAAAAAAGCGTAATGACGGAGATAATGTCGCGAGATAAGATACAAATACACGTTCAAAAATATTCTTTGTGTAAAATGAACAAAATAATTTGCGTCGTCCGTTGGTTACGAATTGAATTTATGAATAAACTTGATCACCTCACTGTAAACTGTGCGAACAATGGAATGTCTCTTCAAGACTAGTTACTGAATCGATAAGTATTATTGGCAGAGACGTTTCTATTGACGATGATCTCGTTCGTGTCTAATATATCTTCCCAGTACTCGTTGAAAGAATAGAACGCGTCACTGTGTCCGTTCTGTTCGTGGGGAACGGTGTGCATGATGCACACGATTTTTTTTACCGCGATGCTTCTCTTTCTTTCTATCTCTGTTTATGTGTCAGTCATGACACCGAACGGAAAACAAAGTTAAAAGGTGGAGCTGCTGCAACGGGCACGGTACATGGGGGTGGTTTGTGCGAGACTGAATCGATATTAGCGCTGAACTTGTCCGGCTGCCCCCCACTCGAGCTGCACGAGACTGTGTGGTTTCCAGGCGCGAACCAACTTTTTACGCCTGACAAACGGTGAACCGATGTACTTATCGTATTGTCTGAAACTATGTAAACCATTCATCGAATGGAAACAAGCATTGCGTCAATGGTAATAATGCGTATCGTGCGAGATAAGGAAAGGATAGAGGGATACAACGAATTGTACGATTCGATACGATTTAAATTGATAGAATTATGGATGCGAGGCAAAGGAATTATATTAATTCAACTTATACACGTGTCAACATGTATTTAGCTAAAAATATAATGTATTTTATGTAGGAATAATTGATATAATTATATTATTAATGAGAAATTGTATATTTCTTTCTTTTTGTTTCAGATTTAACATTTATACATCTTTTCTTCGGATGTAATATCTTCCTTTGATTCCGTCTTCCTTCGATATAAAAAAAAGATTTTTATCTATGATATCTTGAGACCAGCAATGGAATTTTCCAGAAGCTAAATTAAACAATCAGATTAATTTGACGATATGTTTTTATCGTTTATAAGAGGAAAAAAGAAGTTATAAATTAAATATTGAGATTTACCTTAAGATCCCAAACTACCAATTGACCGTCTAAACCACTCGTGCTAAATTCGTTATCTGATACTTTGCGTACACAATTAATTGTATTTTGATGAATACTATCCAAGGCATTGTCATTCGTATCAGTTCTCGCTTGGCGATCTAACGATTGAAATTTACGCATGGCAGACAAACCGGCAGCTTCTTTTTTTTGTGTATTATCTAGTTTTGATACAAAATATAGTTGACCATGGTCGTCTATGGAATATAACATAGGCATACAACTATGTCCCTAAAAAAGTCCCAATTAAATTATATTTAATGTTTATTGAAATATGTAATAAAAATTATCAAATTATTATTTATTAAATGTAAAAAATATAAATAAGTACCACAGCAACAATGGAATTGGACCCCATCCATACACAACTTAAAAATGGTAAATGCTCTGTATACAATCGTATAACTGCATTTCCTTTAGTAGCATCTGCAATGCAAATCGATGAATTGTGTGCTACCCAACAAATTTTATTACCACAAGGACTAAATGCAACAGAGTGTATCCAACCTCCTAAATGCAAAGAAAAATGATTAACAAACATAATAAAAAGATTTTTACTAATGTTGTTAATAAAAAGATATTTTTCTTTACCTCCATTAGGAGTATTTTGGAATTCAGCGAGTAATGTTCCTAAAGTATTGCTATGACCCCAAGGACCATTACCAGGTGCATCTTCCATATCACTAATGAATGCACTAAATATACGAACTTTATAATCAGTGGACCCAGCAACTAGAACTTTATTGTCTGGATGCCAATCAACTGTAGTTACGGTGGATCTCAATGGGCGTTTTATATGCTTGCACTGCCACCAATTATTTTCAGATACAAAATAACAAACAGCTATTACTCTACCTCCAGATCCAACAGCAAATTTATTTTCTATAAAAAAGAAAATGAATTTTACACTTATTCAAATATAATTTGATAATTAATTAATATTATACCTAATGGAGACCATTTTACACAAGTTGCTGCTCGATTTATTCTTAAAAGAACCCATGCTGGATTCCATTTTCCATCTCCTTCTTGTGTCCAAACATATGCATTTTTATCCGCAGAACATGTTACTATTCGATTGGTATTTGGTGCCCAATCAATACCCATGACATGCATATCATGTTCTTGCAAGTTTTGTAACAATTTCCAACCGCTCGACGTTCGTTTGTAAACTTGAATTTCATTATTATTTGGACAGATTGCCACCTCTGTAAAAACATATCAAGACTGTTCATTTATTGGCAAAGGATTTGTGTTGCATGAAATGAAAGTCAAACCTTTTCTATCTTTATTCCAAGCATGACAACTAATGGCATCAACACCTAAATTGTGAACCTCTGTCATTTTGCATTTAGTTTTGGCGTAAAATTCGATAAATATTATATCTATGAATCACCACACATAGAGACGGGTGCGGTCGCGTATTAATGTGTGGTGATCCTCCTATATTCGCCACTAGAGGGATGCACACCAAATACAATTCTCAAAATAATTCTCACTAATCATCTCTCACTATCACAATGTCTAATACATGAGCCTGTTAGAAAGAACTTCTAATGAGTTCACTAATAGGCTCTAAACAAAATGCACTTTTTTTTTTTTTACTCTTCCTTTCCTTTCCTTTTCTTTTTTTCTCTTTTCCTTCTCTATCATTACAGAACTATACGCAAATTACTATATTGAACATCGAGAAAACATACTTATAAAAAGTATGTCAGAAATTCGTGGACTCTGGTCAGTCTACACGAATTTCTTGAATTTATAATCAATAATATATCACACAATATTCATTATAAGTACACTAGCATAGACAATTCATCTTCTAATAACGAATTATCATGACACACTTTAAAGCTATCAAGCTACGTTATTTCAGATAGGAAGTAGTATATGTTACTTTTTTATCAAAGCGACCTCTATTAAAATTTACTAGTAAATTTGAATTTTGAATTTAATAGTGACATCATGTAAAAAATTATTAAAATACATTTACACATTTTAAAATATTCTCTTTTATATATATAATATAATCTTATTTATATTTTATTTAACAAATATACGTATATATTACGAATATAATTTATTATATTTATCAATATAATATAAATTTATCTTCTCAGAAATACACACACACATACATATATACATATATGTAATAATTAAATTCAATAAACTTTATTAAATTTTTAATAAATTAATAATTTAAACAAGGAGAATAAATAATGAAAGAAGGATAGTAAAAATTGTAACATTCTCATTATACAATGCTTTAGTCACAAAAGTCCCTAGTTTTAATACAAATAATTTTCTAAATTTCATACTCAGTTAAGTTTCATACTCACTAATAATTCTCTAGATATAATGTACATATTATATATAATTATGTTAATAAATTTAAGACAAAAAGAATATCAAAAAGAATAAAAAAAAAATTCAAATATGATGCATGTCCTACATTCATTATATTCTGAGAAAAAATATTTCTCTATACAAGTGATATCAGTCCTTTATTATTCCTTTCTCAAATAATTGCTATAAAATATTGAAATTAACGCCATCTTCAGAGCCATAAATGCCACAAATGAAATAGATAAATAAAAAACAAAAAATGAAAGATAAAAATAGGGTAAGAATTAATTATTAACGCCATCTCTTGATTAAATACTAAAGATATACTTCTAAGAATATTCAAGAGATGGCGCAATCAATTCTTATACTATCTTATTCTTTTTTTACTATTTATTTTCCTTGTCTATTATGTTGTCTATTCTATGTCTATTTATATTTTATTCTAAAAATAATGTTGATTTCATAATTTTTTAAATCTTAACTTTATCCTTTTTTTATTTTCTATTATTCTTGTTACTTAGCCTTTTCTATAATATATTATATATACATGTATATCATTTGCGACACGAAAATAGAAAATTATTTTTTAAAAAACGCATAATTTCTTTTTATTTATCTTTTATTATCTTCTATTTATATTTTATTCTTTTTATTATTATATTTCCTTAAGCTGTTAAATTTTTAACAATTATTAATTAAATCCTTAATTCATATTGCATACATATTTTAATTAATGTTTAAATATTTAGTGATCTAATATCTATATAAATAAAATAGACATTAAAAAGATAATCATGAATTCAATGAACTTTTAAATCACATAATGGATATTGCAATCAAGGTGAAAGTTCATATTTAATGTATCAAAAATATCCAAAAGACAAAACTAATGTTGGTTCTTAATAATGGTTCTTAATAATGGGCCATTAACTGACCATATATATATAAAGAGTCAAGTTCCATTCCAGAAGTCATTTAAGTTATATTCGTGGATATATACATCATGCAAATATCAAGTGCATTCGTTCTTTTCGTAAGTTTCAATTCGTACTTTTCTTTGTAGCAAATATTTTTTTAATTAATTAATTTTTTTAATTAAATTATAGAAATTCAAAAGAAGGAAGGAAGAATAAAGAGAAAATGCAAATTATAATTGTTGTTTAAAAATATTAATAATAAATTATATCCAAAGCATTAATTATTAAATGATTTGAAAAGAAATATATAATTTTAATAGTTACCATATTTCAAAGAAAATATTAATTTTCACGATTATTTTATCATCCAAAATACAGTTATATATACATATATCAATAATTTCTTTAATATTTTTGCTTTAAATTTTTTCAGGTCTTTCTCACGATGGCATTGTCAGGCACATACACTCTGGCACGACCCAACGATCATGTCGGCGAGAAACATTTAAAATCGTCTCCTGTGATTAAAAACAAAGCTATACACAAAAGAAGTATATCAAGGCTCGTGGATAACAAACTTATAGATACCACGTTTGAGATCGGATTATCCAAATTCGAGGCAATCAAAGCTATCCAACTTGCCATTTTGCGTATGTTATCCACTCAAATCGACGCATTAACCGCTCGGGTTCAAAAGAGCGACGTTCTTGATTTATTGAATTTGCCCATCATCAAATTTATCACTGAAGAAGTCTTGGGTTCGTTATTATCGGACACGAATGACAAAAATATCTCACATTCTGATTTTCAACAACAATCATTCGATGAACCTTGGTTACGTGAAAATATAGAAATCCCGATGATTCATGAAAATACAGATGAAAAATTATCGTCAATGAAGCCATCGCTTTTTGAAAAAGAAGAAGAATCTTTGCCAGTGTCCAATGAGGAATTTCCTGTTCAAAAATTTTAAAGGTATAATATATTTTGTCTTTAGGCGATTAATCCAATCTCTGTTGAAGATATATTTTTTGGATTTCGTCATACAAAAGTAAATCTAACTTTGTTCACGAACTTTCTCTTGATATTAAAGATAGAGAGATGTTTATTTTATCCTATTGTTTATTTAAAAAAAGAGAGAGAGAGAGAGAGAAAAGACTTATAATTTCATATTTGAAGGATATTAAAAATTATTTATATAAACATAAATTTTTTTTTTTTTTTAATTGATATATCTAATACTATTATAATATATATGTATTATATTATATTCAAATATGTATCAATTATAATACCAATAAATTAATAGGTTAATATATGTATGTTCTATTCGGAAAATAAAATATTTTTATTCAATTTATCAAATTAATAATATTTTTTTCTATTTATATATAAATCGCACTGAACAAAACTACGATATTTATGAATAAAGAATTGTATTTTTCTAAAAAGATACAAAAAGTTAGATACAGAAAACTTCATTTAAAAACCAATAAAATAAATAATAAAAAATAATAGAACAAAGGAATAAAAAGTAAAATTGATCGATCTCAATTCTCAACAGTTTTGACTTTATCTTGTTCTTTTAACAAATTTGGCGTTTCATTCACGATCAACGTTGTTTCGTTTTGCATTGTGTTCAATTGGTTTGTCAATTTCTCCTGCTCGTTTTTTCCGTAATAAAGATCTTCCATAACGAATGTCATAGTCATAAGAACTGATACTCCAGCGAAAATCACCCACATAATTAATTCTAAAGTAACCTAAATATATATAGGAAAATTTTAATAATTCGTTCCCTTGAATCTTAATGAATCTAAGGAATATATAATATATATTTATAATTAATTAGAAGATCTCAAGTTTGGAAAATTGAAGATTAAACGAAAGTGTACTTCTACAACGGCTTTTAGAACGATCTTTAAACGATCGTTAGCAGAAATCCATTGCCAGATTATGAATGGTAAAAGAATGATTAAAAGTATTGCGTCCAGAGCATGCAACACGATCAACGATAACGAATAAAAAATTGGCGACTTTTTGCTAGAGTTTTGTCTGTAAAATAATATATATATATATATTATCATCGCTGTTATCAGATTTGTTTGGTATTTATATTTATATCAATTCTACAAAAATGTACATTTACAATTATTAAACGTACCTATTCTCTATATTTTCTTTCTTTTTATCTTCTTTTCTCACTTCGATTACTTCGTTGCCGTTTTTATTGTCTATTTGACATTTATTGGTTAATAGTGTAATAGATGTTTTTCTTGTACCATGCATGGTAAACATGATATTCAGGTAAATTAAGTGTAAAAAAAATTTCTTAAAAGGCAACTGTTTTTTGGTAAAATGCAATCAATATGGGAAGATTTCTGATCGGTCCATCTCATTCTAAATTTGTCAAATTAGACAAATTGGACATTATAAAATTGGATGAATAAGAAAATTGTTTACCATCAGATGTTTTCATTTAATTTCTATTCTATACGGTGAAAAAATAATTCTTTAAAAACTGGTTTTTTTTTTTTTTTTCATACAAAATTAAATTGTAACATTCAAAGCTTTACAAAGCTATACATCATATATCATCGCGTATTCTCTTTATAAGAGAAGTATAAAATATCTCTCGATATAAATCTTATGATCTCAGAAACGAATGTAGAAAATATAAAATAGAAGAAAGATAATAAGAAAGAAGGACATTTTTTTTCATGCGTAAGATACAAAATATCTTAGTTTAATTTAATTCGTTTAAGATCACAAAGATAATTATTTAATTATACAAAGCGCATGCACCCTATTGTAATATATTCTACCATTATACACTAATTATAATACTATTTGGTATTTTCAAAAACGATAAAATTCTCTGCTTGCCTTCATCGTCCACTTATCGCGCTTTCGATCACTGTACGTACTGCAGCCACTTAACCTCAACCGCCAATCCTCCTCCAATCCTCAACAACTCGCTTTCTTCTTTTATGGCACAAAGTGACGCTGACTCAATCGGTTAATTATTATGATAATTAGTCGACTTCAAGGACTTGGCTGTACGTGCAAACACTTTCTCATTCGATTCCTCGTTTCCACGTATCTTCTTTCGTTTCAAACCGTTTTTTTTTTTTATCGCGATTTTGCAACCGACGAGAAAACGAAGCGAACGATAAGAGTCGAGCGGGGAAAGGGCGGTCAGAAAATTGGCGCCCATTTTTCGCAAGGGATTTTCACACCAGCCGGAAAACCATAAACCTGATTTTTTGCCCGATGCTTCCTTCTGGCCACCTGCTGCCTGTACACGAACAACGGTCTGAACACTTTGGCGTCTTGACCCTCCAGATCTTCCAGATCATCATCCTTAACGCCATCTTGTTTCGTCTCTGTTTCGATCGATCTCGGCTTTCTTCGAGATTGATGGATTTCCGATGGTTGCCCTCTCTCTATTGAACCGTTCATCTCGAGACGCTCCTTCGTTTTTCCGTATGCTTCGATCTGAAATTTTTTCGTATGGAATTGGTGCAACATATAAATATTTATGACTTGCATTGGGGAATATTCGATTGTTCGAGATTATTTTTAAGAGGTTAATTTTTAAACAAGTATCGTTAGATTTTTATTTTTCCTTTTTGTCGAAATTAAAAAAAAAAAAAAAAATGTTCGATCATTTAGATTTCCTTAAATTATCTTGATGATAAAATTTTCAAAAATATTTTCGCATACCGAACGAGTAACCCTGGAACCATCCTCCACATTTTTCGTAATATCTCGCTGTATCGATTTTTCGATGTAACCGTTATTCATTAATTTTTTCTTCTGCATTCCGTATGCCCGAATTCCAGGAAGATCCTCCTCGGAATTGATATTAATCTTTTCCACTTTGCCATCGAATCCATGCTGATTCTCTATGTGCAATCTCCTAGTACGACTGTTTTTTTCGAGTATTCGTGAAAGTCTGGCCGGCACGTCTTCCAAATTTCTTAATCTCGATGGGATAGGATCGGATTGTTTCAAGAAAGAATTCGAGTTCAATGATTTTTCTGCACCGTTGAAACCGAAGGTTGTTATCAGACAAAGGATCTGTAAAAAAAAAAAAGAAAAAAAATTAGAATTAGCAAACAATCTTTTCATCAAATATTTAAGAAAATTATGTGTATCGTGGTTTTAAGATAATCGTTATCGAAAGAGATTGACCATTTCCTATTGCGTATTATTTGCATAATCTTATATTTTTAACGTTTCGTAATAAAGAAGTTTATAGATATAATTTTTCTTAAATATATATAATATACATTCAGATCGTAGTTAAAACAATATTAACTGTTTCTTTTCGAATAATATTACTAAGAAATTATTTAATGATAAATATAATTTATTTTAAAGAAGATTTAATTATGGGTGTAAAAGTATTAATTACAATAACTTTAAGACTAATTTTATAGAAAATTAATATTTAATTTAATAAATTTTAATTCATATAGATTAATTTATTAAATCAATAATTTTAAAAATATTATTTTTAGGGATAGTTATAGTTATAACTTTTTTTAATTGTAAAAATAATTATCATTTTATCATCATTAAATCGCTATTATTCCATTATTATAACAAAAAAGAAAAATACTTCATTATTTAAATTGTCAAATCAATGTGTATTCCTACAAGTTACATTTTTATATCGCCAAGGAACATGATACATCAACGTTATTATTATGGAAAGATTCTCCCTTACCGCGAGCGTAAGCCACATAGCGCGACGATCAACGTCTCTCCTCCCAATATTTCGAAAAGGTTGAGTACAGAAAAGGTTTCCGTTGTTGGCGACACGAAGAGAGAGATTACGATTGAGAGGATCGATTGACCGAGCATCGGTTATATAGTACGTGGCGGGTTTGCAATCTCGAGGAACTCGATTAAACCGCTAGCACAACTCACCACACGGCCGCAGAAAGAGGAAGGTATAGTAATCAAAGCTTCCACTTTAGAAGTGAGTCACCTTCACGACCGATCCTCGGGGAAAAAAGGAACGCAAAGAGGATCGTCTTGTTTCTTTTATCCGTCCAAACACGATGAGAAAGCTCGAACACCTTGAATACTTTTTCTCGTCTTGACCTTTCTTGCTCGACCTCTCATTCCGCGTAATATGATAGCGGTATCGTTTGTAATTTTTTCTTTTTTTTTTGTTGGACTATAACATTCTTGTCGCATTCTTCAATGATGGTGATGCGAAGTTTCTTTTATCATCGTACAAATTTTACGATTTATTTTGATTCCTCTTTTCTTATCTTTTTATTCTTTGGCTTCTTTTATTTCACTTAGATTTAAGAATGTAAAAATAATTATCTGAAAAGTTCTTCTGATTTTGGAAATATATATAAAAAATAAATGATGTAATTAATATTAGAATTTTAGATTCTTCATCATTGCTGACTGTTCTATATTAATAATAAAACGTGTCAGTTAAATCTTTGATGAAAGAATTGCATTATAATATTAAGAGAATTTTTACAATTTTCAAAATATCATTTCTTTTTCCAATATGTTTTTATAATTCATATTCTAGGGAAATCACCCTTTTCTTCTGTTATTCTGCAAATTTCAAAAATAAACCCTTATTTCACACCTTGAGAATTCTTTTTAAAGAAACTCCATTTATTTTATACATTAGTACGAAGAATTTCGCGAACATTCTTCACAATGCAGTCAGAAATTGTTTCATACGTGTTAAACGTTTACTCACAATCATATCCACGAGTGGAACCTCTAACTTGATTTTTCCCTTTTTATTTATGAAAGATGCAAGGGAAACGAATAATATTTTGTTTAATATTTCACGTAATGAATACATATCATACATATAATGAAAATAATTCTTCAGAAATTTTGCATATAGTAGTAAGATTAATTAAATAAATTCAAATTTATGGGAATACATATGCATTGTTACCATAATTACTTTAAGAAGAAATATATGACTAACTATTCAACCTAACGCGCATTAGCACTGCATTAATTAAAAAAACTTATGAGTTTAGCTATTGAGATTTATTCGTAGAAAATTAGTTTACGAATATTCGTTGAATATATAATTATTACAAACCTAATATAATTAAGTCAAAGAATTCCTGATTACGAAAATCGATTACAAGATATTTTCCTTTTCCTCTTAAATTTTCACACTATTTATAATTCGTACAAATTCTTGGAATTATGATGTTGCGTTATAATTATTGCTTATCATATTTTAAATTTCTCTGAAATAACATCAATCTTATTTTATTAAGAAATATATAATGTAAAATGTGTACAAGATATGATATACGCATATGTAAGTTCTTTAAGTCAAATGTCAGCATCAACTAATGTTAATTTTTTTTATCTTTAATATAATTCCAATTAATTTTCGAAGCAAATAATGATGCTCATTCTATTTTTAGACAGAAATTTATGTCTTAAGATAGATTTATGATATCGTTTAAGGATTGATCGTTAATGGTGATGGATTAATGGAGGATGGAGGATAAGGATTAAATTAAATTCCTCCTTAACGAAACAATAAACAATATTTAATAGCGTGTATTTCGAAAATAATCATACTGCCATTGAATCCTTCATTTCTTGACGACCTTGTCATCATTTACTACGTTCCTAAGCTGTTTCATGACATTTCTATTAATAGTTTCCATTTTTCACCAATCTTTTTTATTTATATACTCATATTTGAGAAATAAATACAATTAATTTTTTCTTTTTTTTAATCTGTAATTATAAATCCCATACATGGAAACAAAATTTTATTATATTATCAAGCGGAATTATAATACAATCATGCGATGAAACGTGTTACACCAGAATTTCTTCTTTTTTTCTCAACAGCTTTCCAAACACAAGTTTTTCTCTTTCCGTCATTCTCACTCGTTCTCAATCCACGTCGTTAATAATCGTTGTACTGAGGTCTGTAAAAAGAGCGTCTCGGATAATAGTTATCATAGTTTCGATACGGTGTGTAACTATATCGCCGATTGCTTTCGTCATAGTATTTAGACCGCTGCTGCGTTTCCTGTCGGTATCTGAACAGAGGTCTAAATATAATATCTTCAGCTACATCCATGTCACCTGTTTCTCCTGTGTAATCCGTTCGATCGCCCTCTACAGATGGCGCGAGCATTTCCCACTGCGATACGATTAATGGCGTCAAAAACATTTCATTTGTGATTGAACTTGGATTCGAAGCTCCTCGATCCGCGTAAGGTGAAACTGGATCGTATATTGGCGATGAAGCGATAATCTGAAATGGAAAATGGAAAAAAAAATTATCCTTTCTCTCTTTAATTATTGCCTTAGTTATTATTCTGATATTTTTCTTTATTTTACTTCTTTCATTCAATTATTTACATACGTTTTTTTACTTTCTTTACTTTCTAAAAAAAATCTTACCTCGGATGTTGGCGTTGAAAATTTCCAATAATTGGGAGTAATCGTTAACGAGCTCTGATCGACGTAATCCTGAGCCTTTTCCTGAATCTTTTCGCTATTATCCTTTAGGAATTGAATTTGATTGTTCAATTCGTCGCTCTTAACATGATGAGGTAAAACGGCCACGATGGGACTTTTCACTTGGCCCTTTTCAGCGTTCGAGGGATCAATGACCGCGACAATAGGGACGGCCACTTTCATCGAGGAAGAATCTTGCGGTAACGAGATCTCACGTGCAAGCTTGTTTTTCAAGAATTCCGTTTCGCTTTTGCGTTTCTCGTTCGATGATTGGTCCGCGCTTGGCTCTGGGAAGGACGTATCTTTATTTTCTTTCGAATCGTTTTCATTTCCCTGGAAATCGAGGAAAGCGAAATAAATATATATATATCGTAAAAATTAATAGAATTAAATATTTAAGAAAAATAATTTTTTTTCCAAACCGTAATAAAATTCTTAATTATTGTAAAATAATTTTAAATGAATTAACGATGGACATTTGCAGAATTTTTAAATATAATCGAGCTAATATTTAACGTGAAAAAATATATATTTTAACAAGAATGAAAAAAAAAGAAATAGAAGATTTATCTAAATAATGGAATTTATCTAAATATGGAATGTCTACGTTAAGTTATTATCCTTTTACCTCTGATAAGTATTGACTCTCATCGTCCTCTAAGAATGCTTGATTTTCTGGCAAAGATTCTTGAGTTTGAGCCTCTGCTTCCTTGGCCTCGGTAATATTTTTTTTTACATCTTGCAAGTTCTCGGTAGGAACGACCAGAAGATGTTCACGTTTGGAAAGTATCTTATGATAATGTAGTAAAAATGACGCAATATAATAAAAATTTGAAATAATACAAATTATACATTAGTAGAAAAATTAAAAAGTTGATTTGTTTAAAATTAATTAATTGTCTTGTACTAAAATCAGAATCATATCTTATGTACATAATTTATGATTATACATAATAAAATTCCAGAACATTCAATGCACGTCGCTATTTCATACTTCAATTTAAAATCTCTCGTTGAAATCTCGTGAAGGCTAAAATATTTCAAAATAATTAATTTTAAAATTCGTTAATTTTCAACGTAAATATTTTGTCTACTCGTTATATTTAATCCTTTCAAAAATTTAACTTTTGGTGTAAAAAAGTTAAAATTAAAATTGCAATACGTATATTCCTTGTTTACAAACCAAATTGGGATTGGTAGCCGGCATTATGAAAACGTGCTTCTTGATCACCAATCCGTTTAAGGATCCATTGCTAACTGTGTGATGCACGGCATCTTGGATAACTGGATCCTGGACAATGGCTGCTATCGTTTCATTCTTGTCGCGTGGGTCGGGTGGAAGTAAATCTTCAACATCGTCAGGAGTCAAAGGTTTCCCTATTGAACCCTTTCCATGAAGAATTAACATCAAGCAAAGAGCAAATTGTAACATGATCACCTGCAAAGAATAACAAAATTAATTAAAAATAAAGGGAAAAAAATTAAATTCTATCATGACGTTTATTCATTATTTTAAATTACGAATTGGAAATATTGTAAATAATTAATTGAAATAAAGATATACTGCGCAATATTTAATTTTTTATTCATGAAAATAATTTTTTACATTATTATTTAATATTCAATATTTTACTTTTAATTTACATAAAATAAAGTTCAATGATCTTATATAAAATTATAATATTTTTCAATTATGGAAATCTTTATTTAAAGATATATTGCGCAATATTGCACTAGTTATATATATAGTATGTGCAATATATTAGTGTTTATATATTTCAATTTTAATTTATACATGAATATATATATATATATA